TATATATATATATGTATATATATATATATATATAGGATATGCATGATAATGAATTTCAAAAAGTGAAATATCATTTGCTTAGCCTCCACTTATATTGAGAAGTGAAACCAGAGCTGTCTGGTGTAATGGATCACCACATTTCAACCGTTTTTAACATTTCAAGTTTATTCCATCACTTCTTTAATTTGATGTGAAAATTTGCTCAAATACAAATTACTTAATATGGTTGATTGCCTTTGCTTTTTTATTGCCTTTTCCATAGAAACAAATTTCTTTGTTAGGCTGTTTTTGCCAGTAGCTTAATGCCATCATCTGATAATTAGCTCAAGCTTTCAGTCACTTTTAAACCTCTCTGTTTAATTTAAGAGTTGTTCTGTAAACTTACTACATGTGTTAAACATACAACTAAGTTTTGCACATATTGTCAATGGCCTTTAATAAGTCGTTGGAGTAGTATTGTAAACACTAATACCAGAAAAAAAGTAAATGATTTTAACTCTATAATCCTAAACCTGGAAAACTGAATAAGATAAGATGATCCTTTATTTGTCCCATCAGTGGGAAATTTAATCTGTCAGAATGTGGACAGTACAAGATAAGAGTAACAAAAATAAAAAAACAGTAGAGTAAAATAAATGCTTTTACTCCTAGTCTTTTATACTGGGATGAGCTCAAATGCAGCTAAAGGCAGTTGAACTTTCAGATGTCTTACAATAAGTGACTTAATATTCCTGTCCAATATGATTCTCACAAATGTCTTTTAATATTCCTCCCGCCTCCAGAAAAATAATAATAATCACCAATCAGGTGAAATATATTTTTTGAGGTGAAAATTAGAACGGACACCCCATCGTACCTAAACAGTGGTGTTACTTGATTGATGGGTAAACTGTTAATTATGTTCATAAGTGTTGATCTTGATGATTATTGTAATTATTTATTCATTTTAGCTTTATATAGGAACTTAAATGAGATTTGATTACATAATTTAACATTTTTCAAGGGAAAAAGGCGGGAGTATAAAACAGCATGTACATCTCAGTGTTTGAAACTAAATATGTCTGAGTACAAAATTATGAATTAGTTGTTCACAAGAATGCCTTTGGGTTTTTTAAAAAAAAAGATAACATAACGACTTATTTGAAGTAATTTAAAAACTAGTAGAACAATGATCTCCAACTCATTAATTTTCACTTTGTATATTTTTCTACGACCAGATCATTTTAATGAAACATTTGTTCTTGTATGCATTGTTTGTGTTTCACTCTTTCTTGCTGTGAAAAAGCTCAGACGCTCACGTTGTACATTCTGATCTGAGCACGAGCACATTTGTTCTTATGAATTCTCATAAATGTAAATTGTTGTGCTCATCATTTTTCTGGCCAGTGATAAAACACTACCTTATCTCTTTGCAGCCATCATGGCAGCAGAAGAGAGAAGAAAGCAGAAGGAACAGATCAAGATACTCAAGCAGCAGGTGTGTGCTGATGAAAAGTCTGTCTGTCTTTCCTTCCTATCCTCCCTTAAAACCCTCGGCACTGAATCTTTCGCCAAATGCTGACTTTTGTCACTGACTTCCACTTTCCAATTGCTGTTATTACTTCTGCTTGTAAACTTCACTGTATACTTTATCTTGCGAAAATGGAGTCATCGGAAAGTGATTTTGTAAGTGGATGTCTTCCACTGTCTAAAATATTAAGGGATTATTTTTTTTTTTTTTTTTTTTTTTTTCTTGCAGGAAAAGATCAAGCGCATTCAGCAGATTCGGATGGAGAAAGAACTGAGAGCGCAGCAAATTTTGGAGGTAGAGAATCTGATCCAGCAGCACCTCTGATTAAGCAGAGCATTCCTGGATAGCTGGAGCCCCCAAGTCTATAGTGTTTTAATCTTCCTAAAGCTCATTACTGAACAGCAGCATGCATTGGAGGGAGTTGCGTCTTCTTAGGCATAATTCCACATGGAACTAATGCTAAATTGGTCTTGGTTGACGGGTGTTGAATATTAAAATGGATGTTGCTGCCTCTTCAGACCTTATTTAAATTGGACAGAAAAGTCTTTTTTTTTTATCAGACAACAGTAACAGTTTAGCATAAGTGGGTCAAGGGGAAAAAAAAAAAAACGCTGTTTGCCGCACGCAAACACACATTTCAAGTTGCACGCACGTCACACATCTGCAGACGCACACAATTATTCTGTATGAGCTTCAAAGTGTTTTAACAGGACTAAATCAATTTTGAGTTGACACGGTTGGCAAGCCACACTTAACAGGAGGCTTCAACATTTTCACAATTACACGTTAAAGAGATACATTATTCATTCCCTCTGTTTTACAAATTTGACTGGCATTCAGGAGCGTGGAAATCTTTGCTCAAGCCAGAAAGCTGCAAACAGTCACTTTACGTGCAACAAAGCTCTCAACCAAGACTGATTGATGTGTTCCTGTCACTGTATTCTTTATTCATAGGCCAAACGGAAAAAGAAGGAAGAAGCTGCCAATGCCAAAATATTAGAGGCTGAGAAACGCATAAAGGTATGTTTTGTATTTCAGCGAAAGTTATAGAAGCATACATTATAATGCACATTTCTGAATGAGGATGATTATGTTAATTAAAAAATGTATAATGGGCTTTTACGACTTGAAAGGCACAAAGCAAACAAATGAAAAGCAGCATTTAAAATAAACAAAAGTCCCATCTGTCTGTAGTCATTTTCATGATATTAACATGAGGGGAGCATATTAATTCCCCCCCTCGCCATTTTTGTCTTGCTTTCAAGGAGAAAGAGTTGAGGAGGCAGCAGGCGGAGATTCTTAAACACCAGGTAAGCTTTTACTACAACTTTCTTAGGCTCTCAAGTGAACTGATTACTAATGTAAGAATGTATTTAGCTTAAGCATGGGCTGGGATCAGACTGTCACCTTGAGTAAAAACAACACAGTTTCCCTCCTGTCACTGTTCACACAGAAACTTTGAACAAAAATGTAAATCATGTTGTAATTTGTTAAATTTGAAGAAGAAAAGCAACAATTATAATGACAATTTTATGTCACTTATTTTTAGCATTCTGAAAATATATATATATAAACAAAACACTGGTCAAATTTAAAAGTATTTTTCAAGTCCTTATTCCACAGAATATACCTGCTTTTTGCTGCTTTTTTGTAAGTAACAAGTTGATGTCATCGTGGGACGCTTGACGGACCTACTGCTTGTAGTTTGGAAACTGTAGTTTTGAACCAAAGTTATATTCATAAGGATATTGAGTATGTTCTTTTTATTTTCACACCACAGTTGGCTGTGTTGACTAGAACAAATTCCAAAACAGCTCAGTCTGTTTTTCTTGTAAGTCATATTTTTCTTTAAGTCAGCTTGACTGGCAGTAATAAGCAGGGGAGGGGCAACACTTTATGCTCCATGTGTCCATCCTATCAAAACAACATTAAACTGTAAGACGGAAATTAGCAGTTTTGACCACTGAACCACTGATCAACCAGCCCATGCCTCATTTACCTGAAACATCCTTAAATGTGTGTGTGTGTGTGTGTGTGTGTGTGAGAGAGTATAAATTTAAATACAGTACGTAGATGTGTGAGAATATGAAGTGTGAGTGATATTAGATCCAAAACGTGTTTTTTTTAATGACTTGTTTCAGCATTTCTCTTTGTTTTACTCCTTGCTTATTGGTATTGGTGATTACTTCTGTTCCATAATACTTTGCCAACTCTCTCTGCCAGGAGTTGGAGAGGCATAGACTAGATATGGTATGGGTATGTTTATTTTTGTACATCTAACACCTGCATCGTGTAACTGGTTGTGTTATGGTTGTCATAGCAATGCATTAAGTGTAGCACTGGCTGCTGTCATACTACATTCTTCTGCATGGCTTTCCAGCAAAACCAACAAAAGAGAAAAAGAGTCAGTATGCTGCCTCCATCTGCTCGTCCTGAGGGACAACTGACCCTGTCACGGTGGCCAGGCAGCTTCTGTCCCCCTCCCCCCTTCCTCGTCCTCCCCCTTCTACTCAAAATGCATTGCAAAGACTGCTCGGCAATCCACACTCACTGTCTGAGAGAGAGAGAGAGAGAGAGAGAGCGCTCGAGGAGTTTCCATCCATCACGCACATCGTCTAACCGTTGTATCGGAGTAGCCTGTGTTACCCATGAGTGCTTGACGATTTCAGCCCAGAGATCGAGCTTGTGTCTGTCCGTCCGTGCATCTGTTCTGCAGTCCATAGAGTTCTGGACTTTAACCTGCCCCATGCCAGCCTCTCTGTCATTCACTGTTCCTGTACTTTGCACAAAGAATGAAAACAGCTACTGGGAGTCATTTTGTCTTCATGGTGGTGGCACGTCCAGGAACATACCCCCGCAGTCTGAACTTTAGTGTTAAAATTGACCCATTTCACAGAAGGATAAGAACATATTTGATTCCACCATGACAACAAATATGGTTCTGAGTAGTTTGTTTTATTTTGGCCTGGCTCTCCTGCTTGTAGATCTTTTTTTTTTTTTTTCACTCATAATGCACAGTTGCAGCTGAATCTAAAGATTGGCCTATTTGTATTTAAAAGGACTGAGGAAATCAATGCCTCGCCCCACTTATAACTTCATTCAGAGTTCAATGAGTGGGTAAAAAGAGAGATCCATAAAAATAATGTTGACCTTTAAAGCCTGTTTTTGTGACAGTCTCTCTATATAGTTTTTTTAAAGGATTGAAAGAATGTGTGGGTTTCATTACCTCTTTTAAAATTTTCCTGTTTTTTTTTTTAAGTTTTACATTTGTTGACAAAAAAAAGCAAATAAGGGGGAAAAAAATATTACTGCAGAGCAGAACTTGTGGTGTCTAGCTGTTTATTTGTTTGGTTGTTTATGACTATGATAAACCGATCCTCACAAACAGCTTGTTTTAGTCTCTGTGTGCTGGGAATGTTTTTTGGCAAACCCTAATAGCAGCAACTGTGTCTACCTGGTAGATCACAGAGGGAATGACAGGTTGATACAAAGAAACAGGAAGCCGTAAAGAGATCACATAAAACGATAGTCAGTCACCAGTGAGTCCTGTGCCCTTTTGCAGTAGGCGGTGTATCATGCACCAAAAGAATAACACAGATGTCTCATCCTCAGCAGTCACATTTTCTGCTAATACTTCAGCTGCCAAAACCACTGAAGTGGAACTGCTCTGTTTTTTTGTTTTTTTTTTGCTGCTTTTTAACTATCCGTTCCTCTTTGTCATTCCCTCACCAAATATTACTGGAATGAGGCTGAAAATAAAGATCAGCTTTGACTCGCGTAAATTTTTTTTTTATTGTTGTTTTGATTGCAACGACCGTGTGGCACGTCAGACAACTTGTTGGAACTAGCACTTTCTCGCTTTTGTTGTGTCAGCTTTAGTTTAGAGGCGCCGTCAACGATTCAAGCTGCTTCTTTTTTCCTTTTGTTTTTTTGTTGTTTTTTTTTTTTTCCGAGCCTGTCATCACATCTACTTTGTATCGCATCTATGTGTTGCTTTTTTGGTTGTCATTGTACTACCGTACTGTTCACTTATGCTTCCACCATACATGTGAAAAGTGTATACACGTGAAGCATTGTTTTGTGTTTGTTCGCGTATGGTGCCTCTAATGAATTCAGTTTTACATGAATACATAAGCAACTCAGTCGACCTTGAGTGCTGTTTGTACAGTGCGTGCACCTTAATGCTCCCCCTTTTTTTTTTTTTTTTTTTTTTTTTACCATTTTAGGAGAGGGAAAGGAGGAGGCAACATGTAATGCTGATGAAGGCTGTTGAGGCTCGCAAGAAAGCAGAGGTAGTTCACATGCACACGACCGGATTCAGAAACACACACATCCACATGGCCACTGCCATAAAAAGGAACAAAGTCATTATTCTCTCCATGAATTCTTGCTTTCTCTCCTTCCGTTGCACACTTTTCCTCCTTTCCCCCCCCCCCTACACTCGTACCGAGTTAAAGGATTCTGGCCCTCAAGCACTTTTCCTCCGAATGCGCAGCAGTATTAGGGCTGAATTCTAACACTGCTCAGCAAAGCCATGCAAAGCCCCTTGTCTGTTTTTACACACAAGCACACGCACTCACACACGCACACACACTTGCTTCACGTCCCTAATGCTCCCTCAAATTTTGGACTCTCTAGGAGCGTGAACGCTTGCGGCAGGAGAAAAGAGATGAGAAGCGCTTGAACAAAGAGCGCAAACTGGAGCAACGGCGACTAGAGCTGGAGATAGCGAGGGAGCTGAAAAAGCCAAACGAAGACATGTGTCTTTCTGACCATAAGGTTGGTGCTCTTTCTGTTATAAACACTGTTATTAGTCGCATTGGCGATAATACTGATGATGTACTGGGAGCAAAAGACTTGTTGTGAGAGCAGAGTTAGTGGAGCACTTTCTCGGGTCAGTGTTAAGATCATATGATTGTGATTTTTTAGACATGTGTTCCCTCAAGTGGTGAAAGTGAGGAACTGCAAAATAAAACTGGGTGTTTACAAGATGCTGTACAAATGTTAATGAAAAGTTAAGCAGAAGTCAAATGTGGGATAGAAAAAAGTGATATAACCAAATAAATAACTGCAGTGATAGGATTCAAGTATTTGGGGGGAGATTTACAAGATACTGACAGCAGCCGATGTCAGTGTTTCAATCTGAATTTTCCCTGTTTTTCCGTGTCCAGCCTCTCCCAGAGTTCTCCCGCATCCCTGGCCTCATCCTCCCTGGACGGGCAGTGTCAGACTGCCTGATGCTCATGCAGTTCTTGAGAGGCTTTGGAAAAGTTTTAGGACTTGATTTGAATGCAGATGTTCCCACCTTGGGAATGCTGCAGGAAGGCTTGCTCAACGTGGGGGACAGCATGGGCCAAGTTCAAGACCTTCTGGTCAAACTGCTCTCTCTAGCAGTCTGTGATCCCGGTTTGCCACCTGGACAAAAGGTAGAGAATTTATATTTGAATCAGGAACGATTTTATAAAAGAATTAGATTATCATAATAGTTATGTATGGGCATATGGAAATTTCGTCAGTTATGTATTGATAATTAGAGGCTGAAAAAAAGAATTTGAAACTTAAATTTGACATTTTTATTTAAAATAAATACCATTTTAATGTAAATCTTAATGTGTTTGAACTTTTGATTTGCTGTTTTTAACTACAGATTAACTGCAATTACAAAATAAAAATACGTATTTTTACTCAACGAATAAATACTGCTACAAAAGACAAATATGCTGACAGTTTTGATCAACTTGAATCGAAAAGTTAAAGTGATGTCACGACCCTTTTGTCTTTCTCATCAACTCCTTCACAATCAGACAAAAACCATGCTGGGGGACCACTTAACCAACGTTGGCATCAACAGGGATAACGTCTCGGAGGTGCTGCAAATGTACATGAGCGCTCATTGTTCCAACACAGAGCTGGCTCCTTTGGCCCTCAGTCTGAAGACCAAAGCCTTCCAGGCTCACACTCCTGCCCAGAAGGCCTCAATTCTGGGGTTCTTGGCTAATGAGCTGGCCTGCAGTAAAGCTGTTATCAGGTAGGGGAAGAAACACAAACTTAAAACTGTTTATTTTTGCAAATATTCTCAGTTTTAGTTACAAAGTACCTGGTGGTTTTGAGGTTTTCTGCATGGTTTCATTTTTTTCTCTCTCTCTGTGGGTTTGCTTGAGTGAAACATATTAACAGAAATCCAACATGTATCTATGTGTGGGCTGTATATTGCTTAATTTTGAAGTTGTTGGTTTTTTTTTTTGTTTTTGTTTTACAAGCAGCAACCCTTTTTTTTATTCAGTGGAAAACAATTAATAACTGCAGAAACGGGTAGTAATTTGCAGAGCTTTTAAACAAAGTGTACAAGTAATTTGGTCTCTGGGATACAGGCTATTACATTTTTTTTTCTCTGCCTCTCTATAGCTGCCTGTTAATCTCAACTTTCATTAAAAGCACGGGTTTAATTTAGAGTAATGCATTTCCTGTTGCAGTGAGATTGACAAGAATCTGGATCAAATGGCGAACATGAGGAAGGACAAGATCATTATGGAAGGAAAACTGAAGAAGTAAGTTTTCCTCAAATGTCGGTATTAAGAACACATCTTTTAATTTCGATAAAACGGTCCGGCTGAAGTTGTTGTGGATCTCCACGCAGGCTGAAGACCATTCACGCCAAGCGGACCGGGAAGAGGGAGGCCAGCGCGGGTGTGGAAGAGAACCAGTCCGTTGGCACTCCATCCTCTGCCGCCAAGCGCAAGAGGAAGCTGGGTGGAGACAGCGAGGATGACGACGACGACGATGATGACAGTGATGATCAGGCAGAAGACGACGACGACGAGGAGGAGGAGGAGGAAATTAAAAAAGTAAAAAAAGTGGAGACCTTTGACGAGGTAAAACCAAAATGAATGCAACTTAATGCTCGTTATAAAAATTGACCTCATTCTAATCACTTACAGACATCTGCTGGGTTTTTTTTCCTCCCCTCCTATCAGGATGAAGTCGACCAGGCCACCAGCATTGAGGAGCTTGAGAAGCAAATAGAGAAATTAGCTAAGGTACACTCTTCTGTAGAATGAGTATGTGGTACGACGAATCTAATCACTGTAACCATAAATGTTTAAGGAGACAGAGAAATTATGCATGCTTGGCTGTTGGTAATAATGTGTGATTGCATGCAGAACTCAGAGATTAAACAACTCTCCTGGGAAGTCAGTTACAAAGAGATAAAGCACAGAAGCAGTAATTATTACTGCTGTTTGTTATATTACTATACATGGTTATGAAGTGCTTATTTTCATGTCAACATGAATATTTCCTTCTAGCTTTTGAATACATCTCGATAGACAATTGGCACAATGAGAAACAAGTCCCACAACTAAACTACGCATCAGCTATGATGTCTTAAAATATATTAGCGTGCATTTTAAAACGGTATTCTATGAAAATGTGTGCTGGCATGGGGATATTATTTAACCTGTTGAATTACCCCATTAGCGTGTTGTGCAGTGCTTCTTATTCATTGTTGTGCCCGGTTATCCTAGACAGGAACGAGTTCCAGATTCAGGTCACCCAGGTTAAAATGAATGAATTCATGGTTAGTGTTGACCATGTAAACATTGTGAGTCAAGCTCACAGCTTCAACATGTCTGTTATTATCACTGAATTCCCAAAACTCTCACATATTTTAATGCATTTTATTTTTTCAAAACAGCAAAAGTAGTTTGAAATATTGCTGAAAAGCAGACAATTTGTATAAGTTTTACCACTGTTAACTAACACCGTGGCTGATCCTCCTATTTAATAAAAGGGAGAGAGGGTAGTCATATATTTGTAAACTCATGGGAACAACAGCATAATTTAGCTCGATGTTCTCAAAATATTGAAGTTAAGCAAAATATCATGTGGCTTCTTTATATTTTTCCAGCAACATCATCAGACCAGAAGAAAGCTCTTTGAGACATCTCATTCTCTGCGCTCCATGATGTATGGTCAGGACCGGTATCGGCGCCGGTACTGGGTTCTGCCACACTGCGGAGGGGTCTTCATTGAAGCTATGGAGAGTGGAGAAGGTAGAGGCAGCACAAAGCACTCATGATTAGCATATTTCTTTTGATCCTCTTCAAGGTATTTGGAAAGCATGTTGTTTCAAAAATATTTGCGCTAAATACTCTTGTTATTCTTTCCTCAGCCCCAGAGGAACTGGAGGAGGAGCGGCAGAGGAGGAGAAGAGCAGCCGAAGAGGTCAAGGTGAAAGAGGAACCCCAGGAGTTTGAACTGCACAAGGAGAAACCCCGCAGCCTCGATGGACAGAACCTTCGGACACAGAGCTTGGAACAACAGAAAGACGAGGGTCAGGAACATGAGGGGAAGAAAAACACTCAGACTCTGTTCTACCAGCAGGCCGGCTGCATCTCAAAACTGTGTACACTCCGAAATGTTGGCAAAGACGTTAGCAAGCAATCTCTAAAGGCAGAGGAAAAGGAGAGTCCACTTGGGATACAAGAGATCAGTCCCGTGAACATTCCTAATGCCTCCAAGAAAGAAACATTACCTTCCCCCAATCATACTACCCCAGAGCCTGCAGCAGCATTAACTCCTTCCTTAGTGACCACTAATGACACTACAAACATCCCTCCTCCGGCTTCTACATCTTCATCTTTCCCCTGCCTGCCCGTCCGACAGGAAAGCCCAGGGAACACTCCTCCAACTTCCTCTCCTGTGCCATCTCCACACCTCGTATTCCAAGCCAATGACCAGTTGCTCAGAGTTCTGACCGAGAGGAGTGGGCACTGGTTCAGTCTACTTCCTCGCAACCCTTGTGACCTCTCTTCTCTTACCACTACTCCGCCAGGAGCGCCGCGTGGCTCTCCTCAGGCGTCTTCAACACCGGGCAGACCTCGGTCTCCACCTCCTTCCCCCGCCCTACCTCTCACGCCTTCTGCTGCCTCTGCGTCCGCTAGCCCGCATCACCCAACTGGTCTCCTCAACTACCCTTTGTCTGCCCTGCAGGTAAGGCCGATGTCCAGGATAAAACATAATGGATGCCACTGAAGTTTTATTTCCAATTTTACTAAGAGTTTGTTTGTCTCTTTCTTTTAGTTGAAGTCAGGGGGCTCATTGCTTGGGGTTTCTTTTGCAAACTGGCCTAGTGGTGTGATAAGTCCCAGCTTACCTCTGTGCAGTAGCCCCAGCCCCATGCCAGGTCATTCCCTGGAGGGCAACACAACAGCAAGTGTCTCTAGTAAGAGTGAGTCACCTATACCTCGCATTGAGAAAAGCTCCTCTATGCCCTCTTCTGCCTTGGAGATGCCGAAGTCGCTTGACCACCCTGCACCTCGGCCCATTCCAGAAGGTGAGTGACCTCGCCGCGTTGGTGATGACAAAACACCAACTTCTGCTAATGGGATCGCGTGTGTTTGCTGTCTCAGAACTGCTGACAGGTTGGTGGCGGGTGTCTCACATCGAACAGCTGCGGGCACTGGTTGATGCTCTCCACAGTCGAGGAATCCGGGAGCGGGGCCTCCAGCGGCAGATGCAGAAATACCTGGAGATAATCCCACAGGTTTGCACCAAACACAAAGATGGTGAGTAATGCAACAGGTCTTCCTGCTTGTATAAATGTTCCAGATAGTTGCATTAGCAATTTTGTTTTTGTATGCGGGTCTGTGTAACTTCTGTTGTGTCAATCTTCTAGTGGCCATGATTGAGCTCCGGGAGCTTGAGGAAAGCCAGGTCAGTGTGGAGTCAGTGCGGGGCTGGTGTGTGGAGGAACAGGCCATGGAAATGGACATTGCTGTGCTGCAGCAGGTTGAGGAGCTGGAGAGGAAAGTGACTGCAGCCAGCTTGCAAGTCAAGGTAAATTTTGGATGTCCTTCTTCGTGTTGTGTGTCCAAATTACAATAAAATAGGTTTAAACGCCATCTGGTCAGAAGACATGACAAATGATATCCCATCCAGGGCTGGACCTACCCAGATCCTCAGTCTGAGCGGGAGGATCTGGTGTACTACGAGCACAAGCCCCCCACTAAGTCAACACCAGCATCAGGAGGTGCAGGAGATAAGGACTCCAAGGAGCATCTTGAGGAACGTGGAGAGAAGGGCGGGGTGATGCGTCACCCGGACAACCCTCTGGACATAGCAGTGACACGTCTGGCCGATCTGGAGCGCAACATCGAGAGAAGGTACCTGAGGAGCCCCTTAGGTACCACCATTCAGATCAGGCTGGATAATGTGGGTACGGTCACTGTCCCTGCCCCCGCCCCATCCTCTAGTGCTGACAGGGAAGGGTAGGTCATTTCTCCAACCAAAGCTCCCCACTCTCCCACTAAGACCCCTTCCTCTCTCTGTCTGTGCTTTTTGTTTCCCATGTCACTCCAAAACTGAGGGTCTTGGTTGCTTTAACAGCAGATGTTTGTGGCCGCTTGTCAGATTTGTGTACATCTGTTTTTGTTGGGCCTCATGGAGTTTTTTTTGGGGGGGTTCTTTTGGGGGGAGGTTGGTAGGGGCTTCACTCAGTTTCATTTCCTGCACATTGTCATTGTTCAGTGTTGTTTGGACTTTTGTTTCCTACAATCATTTGCATGGTGTTGTTACTCTGTAACCTTGATTATGAGCAAACCTTTGGCTTCCAGAATTTAACAAACCCTCAAACTTTCTGCATGAGCGTACCTTTAACCTGACAGAATGGGTGTGTACCTCTCCCCAGCACCTTACACCCTCATGCCTGTCTCTGCACAGCCAGAGCTCATAATGATCTGCTGTCTTGCTGGCAACTTTTTTCAACTGATACCAAGCAGCTTGTGTGAAAACAGACCCATAAATCCTTATTTCGTTGTGCATTTTTGATCCTCATCCTCCTGTCCTCTCTTAGCGGTGAGGAGGAGGTAGCCCACGGTATGAAGGTATGGAGGAAGGCTCTGAGTGAGGTCCGCAGTGCCGCCCAGTTGGCCATGTGCATCCAGCAGCTGCAGAAGTCTATCGCTTGGGAAAGGTCTATCATGAAAGTGGTAAGAAAATGCTCCAAAGGTTATAGACAAACCTCGGGAAGAGCTTTCTTGTTTTAATGGACGGGTTTGTCTTTTTAGTACTGTCAGATGTGCAAAAAGGGGGACAATGAGGACCTCCTTTTGTTGTGCGACGGCTGTGACAAAGGGTGTCACACTTACTGTCACAAACCCAAGATCACCAGCATCCCCGAAGGAGACTGGTACTGTCCAGCCTGCATTTCAACGGTATGTCAGTGTAAATAGTATAATCGGGCTCATATCATTTAGTTTAGATTTTCAGGATCCTGTAGGATCCGTACCGTCGATGCTGTTAAAAATAGATGCAGTGATCTCCCAACAGTTTCCAAGCCATGTAAATTGTTTATAATTCGAAAATTGAGTTGATCGACATAACTTCAAGACGCAACACTTTTAAAGATTTTGTGTACTAACTGTTCAATTTCACAGGCAAGTGGTCCGTCCCCAAAGACCAAAAAGCCTCCAGCCAAAACTGTAGCTTCTAGCGGAGGAAGCAGCAAAAAAAGCGGGGAGTCCAAGAAGAACGTGAAGCAGACAGGTAACGGGGAGGTATCAGAGGAGGATTCAGTCAGTGCCAGCAGCACGCCCAAAAAAGGATCAAAAGACACCAGCAGGAAGAGAAAAACAGAGGAGGCTTCACCTGCTCTGATACCAGCCAATCAGGAGAGCCCTGTGTGTGTGAAACGGGCCAAGACGGCAAGAGACAACAACAGGGACCTGGGATTATGCAGGTATCTGCCCTTGGCGTGTTCGCTCTTGTCGTCTTTTTTTTTTTTTTTTTTCCCGTTGAATAGTTCTTTAAAGTAATTAAAATCATCACACATTCTTTGTTGTAATCAAGAGCTTGTTACGTCTCAAAAACCAATTCTTGTCTTTGCGTTTGTGTTCCCGACAGAGTACTTCTCGCAGAGTTGGAGCGGCATCAGGATGCATGGCCTTTTCTCACGCCTGTCAACCTAAAATCGGTCCCTGGCTACAGGAAGGTCATAAAAAAGCCGATGGACTTCTCCACTATACGTGAGAAGCTTGTGAGCAGCCAGTGAGTTCCCAACGCTTCTATTTGTTCTTTTTCTTCCTTTAAACCTGCGGGGGATTTCCATGTATTTTAAAGCCAGTTTTTCAGGAAGGAACGTGCTGGAACAACTTAGAAAATGCTTTATCTGCTTTTACAAGGGTGTTTCTGTAGGATGAAAAAATATATATATATGGCTGAGTGTCTTCATTAAGAAAAAGAAAACAGGATATAGAAGAAGCTTTCATCTATCCATCTCTACATAGTTTGTGGTTTTCATTGATCCAGTGTTTGAAGGCTAAGATCTGTCGTAATACCTTTTATACAGAAAAGCATTTTATTGCTAACATGTTCCAGCTTAATGATTGCTTCCCTTTATTTCAGGTATCAAAACCTGGAGACTTTCATCATCGACGTCAACTTGGTCTTTGATAACTGTGAAAAATTCAATGAAGATAATTCGGACATTGGTCGAGCCGGTCATAACATGAGGAAGTTTTTTGAGAAGCGCTGGACTGAGCTTCTGAAGCAAACAAACTAAACTGTTCAGACTCTCCTTGTGAACCCATTCAACGTTTCATACGGAACACCAGGTTTTATTTTCTATTTTTTTTTTTTTCTGACGGAGTTTGTGGCTTTTTGCAGGATGGAAGAAAAAGTCGGCTCCTTCATAAGGAATCCATTGTGTGCTTAAGAGAGATATCACCATACAAAAAAAAAAAAAAAAAAAAAAAAAAAAAAACGTTGTTACATGAGGTGCGCTGGATTTATTACAACAGGGATAAAAGCCCCAAAGAGTCCCAGAGAAATGGGGTGTCCTAGTGCAATACCATTCCCTGTCTCAGAACACTGCACTGAATGAATCCTCAAATGTCACTGATGTATCTGCTCTAGAATACTTTCCACTACCTGTACATAGTCTTTTGTTATTTAATCGTATTATAGTGAATGTATTTAATTTTGTAATAATTATTTATGAATCAAGGTCCACTTCATTTTCTATGAAAAAGGAGGAATCATCTAAACTGCTTTGAATTTAAACCACAACAACAACAACAACAAAAAAGGAATGTGTCTTTGTGTTCTAATTTTTATTTTCCCCAAATATCAAAACAAAGCCAAGAAAAGAAAGAGAAAAAAAAAAACTGTTTACACTGTTCAGTGCTTTGGGGCATCAGAGAACTGTATTCATTTGTTCAAACTGTAAAACTGTGTTTATTTACAGGAGCAGCAGAGGAACAGTTCGACAACGGCGATCCGTGTGTATATACTGTTTATTAATGTCAATATTATGTCTTGTTTGCAACGATGTGTAAAAATTGTTTAAGAATATTAAGATATTGTTTATGCCTTAGAATGATTGTAGCATTCTATTTTAGTGAACGTGATGAAAACATTATCATAAATATTGTTTGTACAGTATATACATATCCTCTGCAAACACTGTGGTATCCTTAATCTTGGTAGTGCCTACCCTTCCAACAGGGGCATGTAGGGGATGTTGTTGTTGTTTTTTTTTTGTTTTTGTTTTTTGTTTTTTAGTTTTCATTCTTACGACAATTATTTTTTTAATATGATTTAAATCTGACAGGGCCTCCAAAGTTGGACAGTAACACAGAAATCATTCCTCACCTCAGCAGAGAAACAAAGGAGCAACAAGCATTCGGTTTCGCTTCCACGATGCATTTCCTCAGAATCTGCCACAATACAGAGGACCTAAAGGCCATTTGTAACCACTGTGTTGAACCTTGCTGTGTGTCGTGGCCTGATGGAGGCAGCTAGATTTTTTTGTACCCAAGTCGAAAGTACTTGAAGTTACTTTATTTAAGATATTGTGGAATAAAAGTATCATTCTTTTGTAGGAGCTTTATTTTTCACTAGTGTGTGGCACGGACCTATTAAAAGGATGTTTTTCAACGTAAGCGTCTTACACTTGATTCATTTCAGTTTCCACTTCACATAGTTGCTGCTTCTGTTTTGGATTACCGGATTAATAATCTTTATTCTCTTTCCAAGAAGAAATTTAAGCTCGGTATGCGTGTGCCGCTTAAACTAGGGGTATGATGCAAGCCATGATGGAATAAATTGACAAAAGTGGTGCCAAAAACAGAGGCGCAGCATGTTTTCTACACTCTAAACCTTCAAATTAAGAAAATAAGAATAAAAATGAGTGGCAAAATAAATCATGAACTTCACAATACAATACATTATTATGCACACAAAACGTTTTCGTCGTAAACGTCATATGCAAGAGCAGTTTTATAAATGTTTACCTTTAGTATGTCAGTGATTACTAATAAAAATGTATTCTTTAGTTAAATGATTTTACATCAAAATAGGAAAATACTTTTACGTATTATATTCATTCATATTGTAGGTACTTTAATGACCTAACTTCTTTTGTAGGAGCGATAGAATCACTTTTGCAAAGTGATAGAATTATGTTAGCAGTTTTACAAGCAGGGGAAGTTTTCTTAATCTTAATGCAGAAACCAAGACAATTTTCTATTATGATGCATTTCTATTTGGGGTGAAGAAGATGACAAAATAAATATGCAATTCTATATCTCTCTAAAATAAATTCAAAGATCTTTTTTTATTCTGTTAAAAAGTGCATCTATTGATGATAATGGATTGGTAAAAAAAAAAAATACATGGAAAAGATGGAAACAATCATTCAAATTACTATTCTGTATATCAGAGCTCACCTGCTCTTCAAAAGAGGAAGTGATGCTGCTTTTGTCAGCAGCCAAAAGGAGATATAAATGTCCCTTTTTCTTCCTCACCTTCCAGCCTCTCTGTGGTCCTCGGGTGACGAGGCAGAGGCAGAGAACGACAATAAGGCTGCAGGTCCAAACTCAGACTTCCACAGGTTCTTGAAAGTCGGTGCAGACCAGCTACATGGGATTCTGCAGCACCTCTTCAACTCACAGCCTAAATGTAATTTAAAAACTAGAACATTAATAAAGTATTATTGTATTTAATATAACAGAAATTAATTAAAAAGTTTAATAAAAATCGGTTTTGGTATTACCATAATCAGCACTATTACTAAAGGTAATATTTAAAAAAATAAAAATAAATAATTTTAATATTCGATTATGACTTCCTATTTCCGAGCTACAGCGAATGCAGCATCGGGAAGACGCAATGACGTCACGGTCAGCTGAACGGATAGGAAGTAAACAGTGAATAACAGAGACGGACAGAGACGAGTGAGATTTACGTTCGCTCTTGTTAAACAATAACAGATGCTGCAGGACGCGGTCTACTGACTAATCTTTTGTCTTCTGCGGTCTGTTTTTTAGCTGGCTTTTATTTATTTTTTTATGTCTCATATAATGGCAGAAAGTAGCTTCATAATCCTGAAGAACCGTTAGCGTCTAAAGTAGCAACAATTAGTTGTTCTGGTTTGTTAGTTCATTTAATTAAGACCTCCTGGCAGAAAAAAAAAGGTGATAAAGCTTTTGGGTTATTATTTCATTTATTTCTGTTTCATTTCGTAAAAGGGAAATAATACCGATATAAGCTGTCAGAATACATTTTTAGCCTGGAGGTATATTAGCGGTAATATACCTCCAAGCTAAATAATTATCTATTATCTTTCTCACTTGTTGGCATCAGACTATCCTATCCAGTTGTCAAGAGTCCGATCAGGAGCAAACGACGAGATCTATTAAACTTCCTGTAGGAACCAGGATTCCTACATAATCTTAAAACGTTTGAATATTAATTTGACAATTTTCCAATTCTGGCTATATGGAAAAAAGAAAGCCGAGTCTGGAAAGCTTTTTCAAAACTTTTCTTAATCTTTATTCCATTATTGAAATTAAATGTGATTTGCTTATAAACAAATTGATTTATGCTGATTTATACTTGATCTATTTAGATTACTTTAATTGTCCTTGTATTACCACATCAAAAATAAACTATTTGTCCTGCTAAATGATTAGATTAGATTAATCTAAACTCATGGAAGATAATCATTTGAGTGATTATTAGGTGTGTAGACCTTCTAAGGTCAGGGTTTTAAACTGCAAACAAATTCCAGTCTTTGGAACTTTATAAACAAAATAAAAGTTATAAAAGCTAATGAATTGACTTAAAGTAGTTACTGTTATTGATAACCCAGGCCTGATTTAACAATAAATAATATCCATGCAGATAATAGAAGCTACCTTGGTCAAGGTTATATGCTTAGCTGTCAGTAATTTCATGCTTGTGATCCATCCATCCATCCATCTTCTTCCGCTTATCCGGGATCGGGTCGCGGGGGCAGCAGCTTCAGAAGGG